TCTGACAGACAGACGGCCTGATGAACTATGGACGGAGGTTCGTGACATTGTACAGGAGACAGGGATCAACACCATCCCCAAGAAAAAGAAATGCAAAACAGCAAAATGGCTGTCTGAGGAGGCCTTACAGATAGCTGTGAAAAGAAGGGAAGCAAAAAAGCAAAGGAGAAAAGGAAAGATATTCCCATCTGAATGCAGAGTTGCAAAGAATAGCAAGGAGAGATAAGAAAGCATTCTTCACCGATCAATGCAAAGAAATAGAGGTAAACAATAGAATGGGAAAGACTAGAGATCTCTTCAAGAAAATTAGAGACACCAAGGGAACATTTCATGCAAAGATGGTCTCAATAAAGGACAGAAATGGTAGGGACCTGACAGAAGCAGAAGATATTAAGAAGAGGTGGCAAGAATACACAGAACTGTACAAAAAAGATCTTCACGACCCAGATAATCACAATGGTGTGATCACTCACCTAGAGCCAGACATCCTGGAATGTGAAGTCAAGTGGGCCTTTAAGCATCACTACGAAGAAAGCCAGTGGAGTTGATGGAATTCCAGTTGAGCTATTTCAAATCCTGAAAGATGATGCTGTGAAAGTGCTGCACTCAATATGCCAGCAAATTTGGAAAATTCAGCAGTGGCCACAGGACTGGAAAAGGTCAGTTTTCATTCCAGTCCCAAAGAAAGGCAATGCCAAAGAATGCTCAAACTACCACACAATTGTACTCATCTCACACGCAAGTAAAGTAATGCTCAAAATTCTTCAAGCCAGGCTTCAGCAATACGTGAACCATGAACTTCCAGATGTTCAAGCTGGTTTTAGAAAAGGCAGAGAAACCAGAGATCAAATTGCCAACATCTGCTGGATCATCGAAAAAGCAAGAGAGTTCCAGAAAAACATCTATTTTTGCTTTATTGACTATGCCAAAGCCTTTGACTGTATGGATCACAATAAACTGTGGAAAATTCTGAAAGAGATGGGAATACCAGACCATCTGACCTTCCTCTTGAGAAACTTGTATGCAGGTCAGGAAGCAACAGTTAGAACTGGACATGGAACAACAGACTGGTTCCAAATAGGAAAAGGAGTACGTCAAGGCTGTATATTGTCACCCTGCTTATTTAACTTATATGCAGAGTACATCATGAGAAACGCTGGGCTGGATGAAGCACAAGCTGGAGTCAAGATTGCCGGGAGAGATATCAATAACCTCAGATATGCAGATGACACCACCCTTATGGAAGAAAGCAAAGAGGAACTAAAAAGCCTCTTGATGAAAGTGAAAGAGGGGAGTGAAAACGTTGGCTTAAAGCTGAACATTCAAAAAACTAAGATCATGGCATCTGGTCCCATCACTTCATGGCAAATAGATGGGTAAACAGTGGCAGACTTTATTTTTGGGGGCTCCAAAATCACTGTAGATGGTGACTACAGCCATGAAATTAAAAGATGCTTACTCCTTGGAAGGAAAGTTATGACCAACCTAGACAGCATATTAAAAAGCAGAGACATTACTAGCAAAGGTCCATCTCGTCAAGGCTATGGTTTTTCCAGTAGTCATGTATGGATGTGAGAGTTGGACTATAAAGAAAGCTGAGCGCCGAAGAATTGATGCTTTTGAACTGTGGTTTGGAGAAGACTCTTGAGAGTCTCGTGGATTGCAAGGAGATCCAATCAGTCCATCCTAAAGGAGATCAGACCTGAGTGTTCATTGGAAGGACTGATGTTGAAGCTGAAACTCCAATACTTTAGCCACCTGATGTGAAAAGCTAACTCATTTGAAAAGACCCTGATGCTGGGAAAGATTGAAGGCAGGAGGAGAAGGGGACGACAGAGGATGAGATGGTTGGATGGCATCACCGACTCAATTGCATGAGTTTGAGTAGACTCCGGGAGTCGGTGATGGACAGGGAGACCTGGCGTGCTGTGGTCCATGGGTTCATGAAGAGTCGGACACGACTGAGTGACTGAACTGAACTGAACTGAACAGCAGCCCTGGTGGGCAGACCGCTGCAAGCTGAGACTCCTGCTGCCCGTTAGAGAAGGCTGTCCACTGTAATCTGGGAGTGTCAGCAGAAACCATGGTGAATCAAAACCTAAAATTTTTTGATTTTAGCTAATCAAAAAATTAGCTAAAACCCAAACCTAATTCAAACAGTATTTCTTCACTGGACCTTGAACCAACTTTGTTCTTCCTCTCCCCCTAGTTGACCAGTTTCACCCAGAATTGAACCAAGATGGGAATGCCCTCGCCATCTGGTAAGCTGATGTCACCCATTTCATAGATGAGGACACTGAACTCTGAGAGCCGTGGCCCAGCTTAAAGTCATTTAGCACCTCACTGGCCCAGATTCGACTCTTTGCCCTGCTCTCTGCAGTCATCCAAGAGACCACTTGACTCAGAATCTCAAGAGGTAGCAGAGGTTATGATACACTGTTTATTCTTGTATTTTTGAAATTCTTTATTATTTTTTAAATCATTTTGAAAAATAGAAGTATGGTTGATTTACAGTGTTGTGTTTCAGCTGTATAGCAAATTGTATAAGCAAGTATAAAACGAAGGCATGCACTTTGTTGTACACCTGAAACATACATCTGTATTTACATACATATGTATTCTTTTCCATATTCTTTTCCATTATAGGTCATTACAAATATTGTATATTTTTGAATCAAGTTTCTCTCTTAAACTAAGAAGTTGGTAACCCGAATGGGAAATGAATGTCTAGGTTAGAATTCTCCCAGCCTTCCATTCCTCCCACAGCCCTAGAAAACCAGATGGAAACCTTTAAAATTTATCGTGACTCGATTTACATTTGTTCAGTTCAGTTGCTCAGTCATGTCCGACTCTTTGTGACCCCATGAACTGCAGCATGCTAGGCCTCCCTGTCCATCACCAACTTCCAGAGTCTACTCAAACTCATGTCCATTGAGTTGGTGATGCCATCCAACCATCTCATCCTCTATCATCCCCTTCTCCTCCCGTCTTCAATCTTTCCCAGCATCAGTCTCTTGTCAGATGAGTCAGTTCTTCTCATCAGGTGGCCAAAGTATTGGAGTTTCAGCTTCAGCATCAGCCCTTCCAATGAATATTCAGGACTGATCTCCTTTAGGATGGACTAGTTGGATCTCCTTGCAGTCCAAGGGACTCTCAGGAGTCTTCTCCAACACCACAGTTCAAAAGCAGCAACTCTTCGGTGCTAAGCTTTCTTTATAGTCCAACTATCACATCTATACATGACTACTGGAAAAACTATAGCCTCGACTAGACAGACCTTTGTTGGCAAAGTAATGTCTCTGCTTTTTAATATACTGTCTAGGTTGGTCATATAAGCAATTTACATTACATAAATTTATTGTCATTATTATTTGTCTCAATTAATCTACTCATTTTTATTTACCTTTCAAAGATTATAGCAACATTCAGCTCAATCAATGGTTCTTAACTAGGGGAGGTTTTGCCCCAGGGAACATGGCAACTTTGGGAGACATTTTTGGTTGTCACGGCTTGGAAGGGGGGCATGGCGGGTGCTATTGGCATCTTTTAGGGAGAGGCCACAGATACGACTAACAATGCATAGGATAGCCCCCCAACAACAAAGAATTGGCCCCAAATGTCAGCATTGTCAAGACCCAGAAACCCTGATCTGATCAAACCCTGATCTGATCATGCAAATCCTGCTACTTCAACAAATGAAGCTCTTTTCTTTTCCATGTTCCTCCCAGCCTCCATCCCACCATGTGTACTTAAATGTCTGTAGTTCTAACCATCATGGTAGGAATACAGTCAACATTCCACTTTTGTTTCACTTACTGTTACATCCCGAGCTTTTGTTCCTCATGCCTCCTCATCTCCACAATTACCGACTGTATTTCTTTTTAATTAATTTGTTTACTTATTTTGGGCTTCATCGGGTCTTAGTTGCGGCACAAAAGCTTCTTTCTAGTTGTGGCACTGGCTCTAGAGCAGTGGGTTCTGTAGTTGCAGAACATGGGCTTAGTTGCACCGCAGGGTATGGTGGTAAAGAACCCAGCTGCCAGTGCAGGAGACATAAGAGACGCGGGTTTGACCCCTGGTTCAGGAAGATCCCCTGGAGGAGAGCTTGGTAACCCACTCCAGTATTCTTGCCTGGAGAATGCCATGGACAGAGGATCCTGGTGGGCTACGGTTCGTAGCATCGCAGAGTCAGACACGACTGAAGCTACTTGAGCATGCGTGTGGGATCTTAGTTCCCTGACCAGGAATCGAACTCACCTCCCCTACATTGGAAGACGGATTGTGAGCTAATAGACTGCCAGGTAGAGCCCCACAGTTACCATTTTAAATGGCTGTAACGCAGTTCTCCAAGCAGGTTGACACCCCATATTTTATCTGACCAGTCCAAGTTTCTCATCTGGGGTGAGGTGGTTGCCAAGAGCCTTGCCAGATGGTCTGCCTGAGGTGGGGGGTGTCTGTGTGGGCCTTCTCCTCCACCTGCAGCCCAGGCTGATGCCATCATAGTCTTCATCAAAAGGCCTTTGTGAAGCGCTCTGGTGAATATAGCTTGGGCCCCGGGGGGATCTCCTGCAGAGATTATCCTACCAGGCCCTGACATGCAGGGCTTGTTGGCTCAGACAGGCAGCATATATGTCAACCATCCGAAGACCGGGCTGTAGGCCCCAGGCAGAGGGTGCAGAACCAGATTCTTAAGCAACATTCATGACAGAAGTAAGTGCCTCTGGGAATGGACAGGTAGGCTGGATTCCCAGAGGAAGTCAGGGTCTTGAATCCGCTCCTCCAGCTGACTGCAGGCTCCTGGGAGGACACGAGATTTTAGAAGCCATGGGAAGGAAGCGGGAAGCAGTGTGACAGATCAAGGACTTGGGGTCAGGTGTTCCAGGCTCCAGTGGACAAGTGCACAGCCTGGGAGAAAGGCGGATGCTACCAGAGACGTTCCCCTGAGACCTTCTGGCCACCTTCTTGTGTAACCTCAGCGTCCCTTTTTCTTCCCCCTGCAGGTGTTCCATGAGCAGGGCATCCTCTTCGGCTACCGACATCCACAGAGTTCCGCCACTGCCTGCCTCCTCAGCCTTTTTCAAATGACCAATGAGACCCTCAACATCTGGACGCACTTGCTGCCCTTCTGGTACCTCCCGGCGCCCTTGTCCAGCTGTCTCATGCAGAGCCTGGGAACCGGGGCTTCATTAAACACAGCTGGGATGGGGCAAGCTGAGGTTCCGTGCTGGAATGTGGGGGACTCCCCCCGTGGTGCATGGGTGTGGAGCCGGGGGGTGTGGGTGAGCTCTAGGGCATGGATTACTGTAGAATTTGAGGGGCTCCTGCAGCTCCCCAGTCTTTCCCTGCTCCCTACTTCAGGACCTGATTTGAGAGCATTGTCTTATTCAGTCTTGGAGGCTGTCTGAGTCTTCTAGAAGCCCTGGCTAGCACTCCCTACCTTGAATAAGTCACCTCTCTGGGCTTTGCATGTTCCCATCTGCGGAGCAGGAGCGAGAGTCTGCACTGTTCCCAGGGTTGCCCCGAGGGTTATCAGAGGAGATGTGGGAAAAGGCATCGGGCACAGAGCTATGGATGCTTATGGTCATTCTGGGACCACAGCTGCTATGAGGCACTTGGTCAGGCAGCACTTGAACGGAGCCAGCCAGGAGAATGAATGCTCTGGCAAGTGCATGCACACAGGTGGGAACTGCCAGGGAGGTGAGGAGGGACCTGGCTTAGAAAGATGGGGTCCGAAGACCAGCTTCGCACACCCAGTGCCTGGGCATAGCAAGTGGCGGGTAGAGATGGGATCATAGTATGTGAGAGTTGGAAGGACCTCGGAGGTCACACAGGCCACCAGCCCCTCACAACGCCACCAGCTGACACAGATGCATCCCAGAGAAGGGCGTGGCTTGCTTATATCTCATGGCAAGTTCTAGCACAGGCTAGTTTCTGGACTTCCCTCTTCCGATTGTATTGCAGACCAGAGGGAGTAGGAGGGACCCCAGGGTGTGCTGCAGGCGGAGAGGGGCCCGAGGAAGGAGACCTGCTCAGCCAGCAGTCAGACCTGGGCCAAAATGTGCAGAAGGCTGCTTGTGCTAGATGCATCAAGGGCAGAGAAGAGAGAGCCCAGGCTTACTGTGGGATGGGACCACCTGCAAAGAAGCCCTAGGGCCTTCAGCCTGGCCAGGAAGGCAGCAAGATCTGCTCAGGGAGGCTCTTTGTCATATTAAATTGAAGTAAACCTAGATAAGGGCTTCCCTGGAGGCTCAGTGGTAAAATCTGCTCGCCAATGTAGGAAACACTGGTTTGATCCCTGGGTCGGGAAGATCTTCTGGAATAGGAAATGGCAACCCACTCCAGTATTCTTGCCTGGGAAATCCCATCATGGACAGAGTAGCCTGGTGGGCTACAGTCCATGGGGTCACACAGAGTTGGACACAACTGAAGCAACTAAACAACAACAAAATTTAAGTAAAAAGTCTAAATGCTAATACATTGTAGCACTGCAGAAGGGAATAGAGTTGTCTTCCTGCAACCCCTCTTGTCCTCTCTGGAGTGGCTGGGGTGACCTGCTGTTTGTAATCCTCCCAGGACGCTTTTCTAGAGACTCGAGCATCTGTGACGCGTGTGTGCACCCAGCACCTGCTTCCCTCCTCCCTCTGCTCCTCCAGTGCTTCTGCCTCGAGATCTCTGTCTGACCCCCACACAAGCCTCTCTGGCTTTTGTACAGCTGTGCGGTGTTCCATTTTCTGGATAAATGACAGGTGACTTAGGCTGTTTTGAAGTCTGTGTTGCTACAAAGTACCAGCCTGGCCATCCCTGTTAGTGGGGCTTGCGTTGCTGCATGCACATGCCTTCGTAGTCATTCTACAGCTGACCCACGCTGGCCAGAGCGCCCCACTGGGCCCAACGCCCCTGCACCGCCAGGGCCCTGAGAGTATAGCACTGAGCAGCAGGAAGGGCTTGGAAGAGCAGGAGAAAGATGCCCCAGAGCCGTAGGACTCGGGAATAATCCCAAGATGGTAAAAGGATACGTTTTGAAGAACAGCAGAGGGAACAGATCACAAGCGTGGGCACAGATCACAAGTGTTGCAAGAGGATTGAGCGATGCTCCCGCGGTTCCCCATGAAGAGCTTTTAGTCCCTTCCCTGGGGGAGTTGTGGGAAAGGGACCTGACTCTCTAGGAGTGGTTCGTGGAAGCGAACAGTTTCTGCAGGAAAGACCCCCTCACCTGGGTTATGGGTTGGGCAGATCTGACGTGGATCTATGCTGTGTTTCTGTAAGAGACAAATCTGGAGGTCTGGGCTTGGCTGAGACGGAGCCTTGGGACCAGGCCCCTCCGAAGAAGAGATGGTGATATTAGTGGAAGAATAGCATAGAAGAGGGGGTAGAAAATAGTCCTGTTGCCTTCTAGACTTTCCAGAAAGAGGGGTTGTTTCTCTTTGAGGGGTCTTCCCAGAAGGGGAGCCTGACCAACCATGGAGAGAATGACAAGGCCAAAGTTGGATCCTATGAGGAATGGCTGAATGCACTGAGGTTCTTTAATGTGAAGTTCAGAGAGGTGGGGAGGGATTATGAAGACAGTGGTGAGATATTTGATGGGTTTGTTGTCTGTGGTGCTGATAGGGAGAACTAGGACTGATCCAGTGGAGAGAAATTCCAGGGAGACAGATGGTAGCTCAGTGAAACTTTCAAACACTCAGAACTGTCTTGAAAGGTGGTGAGCTCCCCACCCCTGGAAGCATGCAAGCCAAAAGTGGAGAGTCACTTGGGCAAGAAGCTGTAAGAGGGATCTGTCACCACATGCAGAGTACACAGACTGGACCATTGCCCTTCCTGCCTATGTCCAAACAGTAAGGACCCCACTCACTCTTCCTTGCTCCTGGTATGTCATCAAAGTGAGACCGTGTAAGGGCTGGTCATCCCAGGGGAAGGGAAGGCAGGCGAGAGTCAGGTGAAGGCGGTAGGAGGAACCCTCACCCCAAAGGTTGAGAGTGCACCCCTGTGTTCCAGGTTCTTCTCGTGGAGGTTTGTGAGCACCCTGCAAGCGACGGACATCCTGAACGACAGCTACTCCTGGCCTCTGCTCGTGTACATGGGCGCCAGCTGCTTGTTCCCCCTGGCATCCAGCTGTGCACACACCTTCAGCTCCATGTCCAGAAACGCCCGCCACATATGCTACTTCCTGGACTATGGCGCCGTCAACCTCTTCAGCCTGGGTGCGTGAGGCCCTCTCGCCTTCTGTCCCCCGAGACCGAGCCGCCTGCCCCTTCCCCCGGGAGCTGGGCTCACTGCGAGGCTCTGCTGAGCTTGCAGAAGGGTCGCTGCCATGCCCGGGCCCCTGCCCGGGTGTCTGATGAGGGTTTTAAAAGAAACTTGTCCAGAGGTGTGCTGGCCAACACTGAACAACCGGCTCCCTGGGGACAGAAGTCCCAGTCTGTGGTGAGGGCTGATAGCTATGGTGCATGTACTCCCGCCATGGCCGGCTTCCAGCCACCCACCCTGACAGCAGGGCCCTGAGCTGCGGAATACCATTACACCCGTGCTATAGATGAGAACAGGAAAGGTCAGTTACCCAGATCGCGCAGCTTGTGAATGGCAGAGCCAGGGCCAGGGAGCCTCAGGGCCCCTGCCTGTGGCTTCCTCAAGTCCCCGGGCCTGGATCCACCTCCCTGGAGCTCCTTCAGTGATTCCCTCACTTCCACTCCTCACTGGGAAGAGCTCCCTAGGGACAGTTCATGCATCTTCCTCATCTGGTTTTCCGGTCCGTAGCTGAGAGTCTGACTTGGGGGGATGCTCAGTAAACCTGAGAGGAAGGTCTAGTCAGTTGAGAGAGGCTGGGGGTCCCCCTGGGGCTCCCTTGCCTGCAGCCACCTCTCCTCCTCCCTGACCCCGTGGAAACCCCCAACCCCTGGAGGGTGGCGTTTGCTCAGCTTCCTCGCTGGTGTCCCACTGTTCCCCTCCCACTCAGCCCTCCCGTGCATGTGCGCTTTGACTAGGCTCTGGCCATTTTAATTCCCTGCTTAAAATCCTTTGGTGGCCCCCATTGCCTGAAAGGGGATGTTCACTTTCATTGGTCTGGCACCCAGCGCTGTGTCCTGTTCCTGGGAAAGCCCCCTCTGCCCCCAGGCACCTGTCGGAACCTCCAAAGGGCCAGCGCCTTTGCTGCGTGCACACCCATCCTCAGCACCCACCTCACCCTGCCACCTGGAGGCTCTCATCGGCTTTGCTTCCCACTGCAGTTTTGGCAGGCGCTGGGGCTCCCTCACTTACGTCACCCATGGAACTTGGCCCCAGCCAGTATATACAGACCGCGTGCCTCTGGGGCCACGTGGGAGCCTCCCCACAGTATCAGGCTAAGAGAAGCGTCTGTCTGTCCTCCTGCGGGCCGTTCCCACCTGGCATTGCACAGGCGACCTGCAGGAGTGGGAGCGCTGTCCCAGGTGGTGGTGATCCTTGGCCCTTACTGCCTGTGGGACCCTGGGCACATCCCCCAGCTTCCCTAGATCTCAACAAATAGGATCAAAGGCAGAGGCTGAACTTGCGTGGCTTGAGGCCTGCTGCAGCTTTGAACTTGGATTCCAAGTTCTCTCTCTCTTTGGATAACAGGTGACCTTAGACCCGACCTTAGGCGCTAGGCTGACAGATCTGTGGCTCCCTCTCCCAGAGGGACCTCGGCCTGGAGAGGCCTCAGGTCCAGACCCCTGGACACACCCGCCCGCTTTGAAAAGGACAGTGCTGGCCCCTGTTCTTTCGAATAAAAGCTGCAGCAGGCAGGGTCTAGAAGGTCCTTCGGTAACCCTTCCCTCACAAACTCCAAAGCCTAAAACCACACAAAATGCCGAGGCTAGCCCCTCGTGCTCGGTTTCTTAGCTGGCCTGGCCCGCAGCCCCCTGATGTGACAGCCCCCCTTCAGCAAGGGCTCTCCCTCCCTGCACCATCTACCCCACACCGCTGATTATTTCACAAGGAACACCCGTATCATCATCTCAGGGCAAAGCCGAGCACACTGGGGTGTCATCGGGGACCACAGCATGTGGTTAAACGCAGGGACTGTTGCTGCACTGCCTGTGTTTGAAGCTTGGCTTTGCTGCTTTCTAGCTGTGTGCCCCTGGGTGGGTTACCAAACCTCTCTGTGCCTCTGTTTCCTCATCTGTAAAATGAGCATCAGTTTAGGACTGATGTCCGAGGGTGGCTGTAAAGATTATGCGAGTTAATACCTCTCAAGCCCTTGGAGCAGCACTGGGCTCCCAGAACAGTTCTCAGGGTGGGATCCGGGTGGGCAGGGAAGGGAGACGGGGACCTATAGGTTGGGGGGGGGTGATGGCATAGCTAGGGTGGGGTGCAGGACGGCTCAGGGTCTGTGGGGGTGATGGGAGCTCAGCCAGATGCAGGGAGGGGTGGTCTTCCCAGGGAGCCCAGACAGTGGTGAGTCCTGGCTTCTTGCCCAAGGCGGGTTTTGCTCCCCCAGGCTGTGCCATCGCCTACTCAGCCTATGTTTTCCCGGACACGCTGGTGGGCACCACCTTCCATGACTACTACCTGACCCTGGCCGTGCTGAACACCATTGTTAGCATCTGGCTCTCCTGCTATTCCAGGTACCTGGCTGCTCTGCCACAGGGGGCGTGGGGTGAGGGGCGGGTGGCGGTGGAGCACGGGGCTCCCCGGACTGTCGGAGGGGACAGCGGAAGAGGTGCTGGGGAGCCTGCGGCTCAGTTCCACTCGGACTTCCAGGGGCTGGGCGGGACCAGCTTCACAGGCACACGGCCTGTACTGGTGCTCAGGGCTCCATGATCGAGAGGGCGTCACACTTGTCTCGTGTCCTGCTGTTGTTGTTTTGAAACACTTAATGATTTTTGAACGAGGGGGTCCCGTACTTTCCTTCTGCCCTGCAAATGATATAGCTGGCCCTGTTGCTGAACGAGTCACTTACTCTCCTTGAGCCTCAGCTTGCTCATCTATAAAATGGGCTCAAGGGAGTTCCCTGGCAGTTCAGTGGTTAAAACTTGGCACTTTCACTTTTGTAGATTGGGCTCAACTCTTGGTTGAGGAACTAAGATCCTACAAGTCATGTGGCTTTGGCCAAAAAGAAAAAGAAAAATAGGGTCAACTCAGCTACCCTGTGAGATGGATGTAATATATCCAGAACACTTGGCAAGCCTGGCCCAGAGGAGGCACTCCATAAACGGGTGGTCTGCTAGTAGGAACTGAGAGGGGCCTGCCTCTAGCCACAGGCACACCTCAGAGATACTGCAAAGATATCAACTTCACACTAGGCAAGTCATTGAACTTTCTGGTTTCCCAGTGCATGTAAAAGTTATATTTACACTATAGTCTATTAAGCATGCAATAGCATTATGTCTAAAGAAACAATGTACACATATTAATTTAAAAATACGCTATTGCTAAAAAATGCTATCATCTGTCAACACGGAGTTACCACAAACCTTCAATTTGCAAAAGCCACAATAAAGCAAAGTGCAATACAACAAGATATGCATGTGTGTGATGCATAGATGATATTCAAACATCTGACACATCCCCAGGGGAAGCCTGATGGCCATGAGTCATGCCCAGCTCACTGGCTCGAATTCTTTTTTTTTTTTTCCTTTCACTCAAGGAAGCTCACTGGGATGTGAGTACAAGGGGCATTTTTTAGGATAACTACTCGAGATTATTCTTGGTAAAAAAACAAAGTACCCAAAATGACTTAGGAAGCCTCTCGAATGATGGTGTTTTGGGGTAACATTTCTGTGTAGTGGTGCCAGGTGCTGGGGGCCGTCCACGGTGGGTTAGCAAGAGCGCCAAGGAAGGCTGGGGGTCCTGACCATCCATGCCCCCAGCCTGTGCCTTTCGTGAGCTGTGGCCTTGTAGCGTTCTTATTCCTGGCAGCTGTAGCTCTTCTCTCTTCAGGAGAAAACCGCAGGGGTCGGAGTGGCAAGGTATGCTTCTGCAACTTCCCCACAATGATTTTGGCTCCAGCTTTCTTTGGGGGACACTGGGTTTTGTGAGACCCAGAGGTAGGCAGATTTTCCAAATTTGACAAGCTGCTTTTCTTTAAAAGTCAAAGAGCAGGGCCTTAAATAGCATCAGGAATGCTTGCCCCAACTTGCCTTCCCCTCACCTGTCCTGAGGCAGGTGGGCAGCGTGGAGCTGCTTTCCATGGGGGTGAGTCTCGTTTGCCGGCTCAGTCTCAAGCCTGGGTTTTGTGTTGCTTCACCTCGTGGGAAGGCCTGGGGTGTGAGTGGGGGTAAACCCCTCTCTGGGGGAATATGGAGATGAGCGCGGCTCAGTCCTTGTCCTCACAGAGTGCCCCATGCAATATAAGCAGCAGACTGCAGACCTCCAAAATGTCTAGATTGAGTCAACATTTCCTTTAAAGGCCAGAGGAAAAGGCTTTTTTTTTTTTTTTTAAAGCATGTAGCATTACAGAATATAACATAAGCAAATAATGGTAATACAAAACGACGCCTACTTGGATAGCCAGAGTTCTGTGAAGCAGCCTTAGAATCAAGCATTGAGGAAGGTTGAACACTTTAGCTGGAGAAGAGGGAAGGGCATTTTGGACAGAGCCGAGGGCCTGGACAAGGGTGAGGGCCTGGCGAGGATGGGCCGGTGCTGGGAGACAGCAGGGAGCTTCCGAGTTGCCAGAGCCTGTGCAGCTGCCAGGGGAGGGGGACAGAGGCTGGGAGAGAGAGCCAGAGGTCGGAGGCCCCTCGTGTGTCCTCCAGAGGACTGGCCTTGTGCTCAGGAAGGACAGAACACTTCCTAGGAAGACAGTTCTGTGGGCTCAGCTACCGCGCCCTGTGGGACTCAGTGGGGGCTCGGGGAACAGGAAGGGGGAAAGAAGCAAACGCCACGTGCTTGGAGCCAAGGGCAGAGTGGGCCGTCCCCCTGGGGGCCCGTCCCGCTTCCTTCGCATCTCGTCCTCGCTCCTTCCCGTGTGCTGGCGGATCCTGCTCCTACAAGACCTGCCCCCTGTGTTTTCATTCTCTGCCTTCGTCTTCGGTGTCTGAGGAGGAGGGCTCATGCTTGCGTGGGGAGAGACTTGGCCCTGATTAACTGCAGGGGAAGCCGTGGGGGCAGGCAAGGGCCGTCTGGAGGTCCAGCTTCACAGACTTGCTGTGTGGCCTTGGGCCAATGATGGCCCTTAAGCAGGGGCCCCTGAGACGAAGTCCCCTGGGTCCCTTCTGTTTAGGCATCTAGATGCCAGCTTCAGTGACTTTTCCAAGGTTTCTCTCCTTGCCTTCTCCCCTGCATCCCCTAGGCCCACCCCTGCCTCGCCCTCCTGCTGCGTCAGTCTGCGGTATGGCTAGGAGTCCAAGAACCACCTCTTTTCCTGAGCACAAAAGGAGACCATGGAGCTCATGAGTTGTGCTTTAGTTATCCGCATGCTTCCCAGAGTAGTGTGGTCCGAATGGCCTTCATTCCCACATAATACATGTCCTTTAGGTAAATTCTGCATAGAGCTGGGAGCGTTCCAGGTGGCTCAGTGGTAAAGAATCCACCTGCAATGCAGGAGATGCAGGTGTGATCCCTGGATCAGGAAAATCCCCTGGAGAAGGGAATAACAACCCACTCCAGTATTCTTGTCTGGAGAATCCCATGGACAGAGGGGCCTGGCAGGCTACAGTCCATGAGGGCGCATAGCGTCGGACATGACTTAGCAACTAAACAACAATCATTGAATTTAGTTTAAAGGAACACATTCCAGAAAACTGCCTTCTTGTTCTGTAGTGTTTACAGGGGAAATGACAGAACATATGACCTCTCTGTGGTTCTTGGAGCCAGGTAGGTGTGACAGAGACCCTGCCTGCTCTTGCCTACTGACCACCTGCAAGCCCAGGAAGCATCACCACCAACTCAGGAATGGTAGTTACACGTGTTTGCTGTACATCACGAGTCTCTGTGGGTACTTTTTCGTTCATCCATCCAGAGCATCCAGCAGTTGGATTTTTAGACACATACGCGCTCTGTGGAACACCTTGTGGTCAGTGCTGTGAGGGAGAGATGGGTTTTCATCCCTGGTGGAATGTGAGCTGTGCTATGAGAGCCGTGCCTCGGCAGTGGTGCTGCGGCAGCTCAGAGCGGCATGGGGCAGGCCTGGAAGGGTTTGGAGGTCAGAGCCGGAGATGGGAGGCTTAGCAGACAGCGCTTCCCAGACACATCTGGAGGTCAGAGGGCTCAGCCAGATGATAGACTGCTGCTGGGGCCAAGGGTCAGCACGTGGAAATGTCCACATTCCTGTTACGTCATCCACACGACAAAACAGCCATAATACCACCCCCCTCCCCCACTGTGCACGCACACACATACACACACACACAGCAATAGAATGATGTTTCCAAAGGCCCACTTGTTTCAAGCATGGTTCTGGAATTCACTCGTACGTCTGTCCAGCTTTGTTGCAACAGGATTTATTGGGTTTTAGAGTAGGCTGGAATTGTATCAGTGCTTTCTTGGTGGAGGATTCTCCCGAAATCCAGTGTCTCCTGCCCACCTGATTCTAGGCAGAGGAGGCCTGATTCCCTGACTCCCAGCCCTGGGGGACAGGCATTGCTGTGCCAGGCGAGGCTTTGGAGACTCGGGAGCGTGGCGCGCTTTGCAGAATGCCTTGCTCCTTCTCCTCCCTCTCGGAGTCTCTGGCTGTGGCGACACCCTGTGGCCTGACTTGGAATTGCACTTTGGTGGTGGGAGGCCCACCGTCTTTGTGGCTGCTGGCCCTTCTGCCTCTTGTTCTCTGCTGCTCTCTTCTTTTCTGCTTTTTCTCCTTTTTCCCTCTGTAGACTCGGCTTGGCAGCTGGAGAGGCTGGTTCGTTTGCCCTTGGGGAAGTACTTTATCAGGCCGGGCGCCATGTCTCAAGTCGCAGGAAATCCATGTTTTGGGGGATGGCCCTCACCAACCACAGCCAGCTTTCTTCCTGTGTAAGTGGCCGCAGAGAGAGCGTGCTTTAAGAGCAAGTCTCTGCACCCAGAGGTGATAGGCGGTGGCAGAGCGTGGGGAGGGAGGGAGCAGGCTTGCGTGGTCGGGCAGGGTTGGCCAGCGTAGACTGAGAAGGCCCCCCGAAAGATGGGCTCTGACTCTTGGAGCAGTGGAAGTGTGTTCTGTTCGCCTCCTGGGGCAGAGGGGTGTCTGTAAGAGCAGAGACTGGGGAGTGGTCTGAGACCTGCCCAAGGGGACAGAGTGGGAAGCCGACCAGAAGGCCTGGGTGTAAATCCTCGCTTTGCCTCCTTATTAGCTCAGCTGATTTTAGGCAAATCACCCAGAACTTGTCTGTTCCCTCCTGTTTCTATTTCTTGTGGCTACAAGATGGGGAGAGGGAGAGGATGGCTCCTACAACACACATTAAAAAAAAAGTGCTGCTATTTCATGAGTGTTACTCTGTGCTCTGCACAGCTGTAAGCTCCTAGCGAACATCATTTGATTAAACCCTTGCAACAAGCCCATAAGGGTTTCTGTAGTCATCCCCGTGGTATACATGAGGATTCTGGGGCATCACGCGCTGGCTGAGATGGTCACAAAGGTCAGGGACTGGACCAGACTCAGGGTGTCCAAGACAAACACTGTTGCCAGATAGTGACCCTGTGCAGCCTTGTGCACAAGATAGTGACCTTGTGCAGGGCCCAGGGTTTGTGGTTTCCTCCAAGGCTGGGGTTCTGTTCTGGGGGGTGATGAGTGGAGGTCCCTTATTTCTCCTCCTCCTCCTTGAGCTTCTCTTCCTTCTCTGCCCCGTGTCCACAGGGTCAGAAAAGAAGAAGGGACATGCCCTTGGGCTTGAGTGAAGTTGAAGCTCATCTCTGGAGGTTATGGGGTTTCTTGGGGCCCATGGTGAACAGGGGTTCCCAGGCTGGGCTGCCGAGCAGATGTCCACATCCTCAGGCACACTTCTGAGCGGATACTGGGGTTGGAGAGCTAAGCAGAGCCAGCCCCACCCTTGAGGAGGGTTCCCTGACCAGCCTGGAGGCAGATGGGGGTGTCTCTGCCGTATTCTATGCCAGAGGAGGTGGGCACAGTGGGGCTCATAGTCAGGTGACTGCACTGGCTCATAGAGGATGTGAAGATCCTGCTGGAAGGGATGGACCTGGGCTGGGGGAGCAGCAGACCCTGTTTGGTAGAGAAAGGGTGGGCGAGTGGGCTGGGACAGGGCACCTGGGGAGCAGAGGTGAGGAGCAGACCCCACCTGCAGCAGGGGTCTGATGAGGGGCAGGACTGTCGAGAAGGGCTGGAGGGCCCCAGCGCCCCCGTCCTCTAACAGGTGGCCCCATAACAGCCACCTTACAAGCCTCAACTCCCTGGTTCTGCAGATCACCTTTGCAGGGGGAGGCTCTGGCCTCACAGTCCTGTGGGTACCCAGGGAGAACCCAGCCCCCCAGTACGATGTGGTACTGAAGTGGGTGCCTGCCCTGCCACCCGGCCCAGCCTGGGAGTGTGAGCTCTCCCTTGCCTGAGCCCCACTTCAGGGCTGTGGTTTTGTGCGGAGCCTCTCCTCCAACTCCCTTGCCCCCCCAGTGTCTAGCCTGCCATCTGTGCTGCCCATCTCCCCGCACCCTCAGCTGCTGCCCACTCCGCAGGCTCGGCCCAAGCCAGCTGAGGCCCCATGGTGTTCCATTCCGAAGGACCTGCCCGTCTTGGCGACTTCCGCACCCCTCATTTTAATGCTGGCTTCCTCTATCTTTGAACCAGAGGCAGGTGGGGGTGGTGATGAAAGAGAGAAGGAAGGACCATGCTTACTCAGTTTCCCCAGCCTGGTATTCCTGTGTGTGTTATTAAATATTCCAGAAATCTCTTGTCATTAAACACCTAATTGTACCCAGGGCTTTTGCAGGGTGATCACCTGGCGACTCTGACTAGTTAAGCATCTCACCCTTCGCAGAAGTGCTGGCCCCAGGAGCCTGTGCGTTTGGGCCCGCCCACACCCCACAGTCTCCTACTCCTAGTGGCTGCTGGTTTGACCTCTGGAGGCTCTTTTCGGCAGTTAGATAACTTGGCCTTTGAAGGGTTTTTGCTCCATGCCTCCTCCCTGATTTTGGATACTATTGCTTCTTATGGTGCCGGGAGATGGTGCCTCCAAACTCTTTTCACATCTGAGATGGAGCCCTTCCCCTGGGGGGTGGGGGAGAAGTGGAGAGGGCTGGTGGAGACGCTGCTGGCCGAGGGAGGAGTTTGTGCACAAGTGGTTGTTTCTGTGGGTTACTCGGCCTTGGTTATTTTTAGTGTGTGTGTGTGTGTGTGTGTTATTGACTGAAACTCCTTTTCATTCTCATTTCTTCCCCATTTCCTTTCCTGATTTAGGTTTTTTGAGATACAGAAGCCCGGGCTCTGCAAGATGCTTCGTGTCCTGGCCTTTGCTTTTCCCTACACCTGGGACTCCCTTCCCATCTTATTCAGGGTAAGGGCCTTGCTCCAACCCCTCTCTGTCTTTTGGCAACACCCGGGAATCAATTGTGTCCTGAGCTCTGGGGGTCAGACACTGTCCTGGTCACAGTAGAACACGTGGGCATAGAGCCCCACGTGCTCCCTTAATGGCACTCGCAGACTAGTAGACGGCATGAACACAGAGGCCCTGACGGACATAGGCAGCCACCGCCTACCAGGGGCGCTAGGTAGGTGGCTCTAGGAGATGCATCAGTGGCCAGGGCTACCTGGAGGCTCAGGAGCAATCTCGGAGGGCTGGGCAGGGGAGGCAGCCCTGGGGTTTAGTAGAGTGAGCAGGAGAGTGGGCTCTGGAGGCAAATCTCTAATATTCACTCACTGCAGGACTTCGGGCAAGTTTTCTACCATCTTTGTGTCTTGACTTCCCTCATCTGTAAAATGGCCTGGTAGTAACACCTCCTTGTGTCAGGCTATGGGGAGGATTACATGAGATAATGTGTACAGTGCTAGCTGGTGGTGAGAGTCCCATAAATGCATTATTATATATTATCATCAATTAACATAGAAGTAGGGGTGAAGGAAAGCGTATGACTGAAGGTCTTAAAGGATAGATGGGAATTAGATGGAGAACACACAGGAAGAGGGTGTAGGAGGGAAGACAAGAAGAGGGAAAGTTGACGTACTCCCAGATGGCCATGCGTTCACTGGCTCACTGGCTGTGTGACATTAAGCAATGAACATAACCTCTCTGAGCCTCAGTTTCCTTATCTTTAAATGAGGCTGACACCCCCTCCTTCACAGGGGGGTAGAGGAGGGGTCATCAAATAAGCAGAGCTGATGGGCTCAGCAGTTCCGGGCCCAGGCCCCGTGGGTGGAGGCAGTGTAAGAGTCTGATGCCTGAGGCCAGGATGGCAGCGCCCAGGGCCGAAGGAGAGGGTCGTGCTGGCTCCACCAGCTGAGGCACTGAGGCTGTGCTCCATGCTCAGCCCGTGTGGGTCTGGGGAGACCCAGAGAGGGGGATGCAGCCCACTCCCTTGAATCCTTCCTCGAGGACACAGACCACACCCAGGAAACCAGCGCAGAGAGAACCAGCCAGCCCCACAGGCCGCCAGAGCAGACAGCACAGGCTCGCGTTAGGATGAGTGCTGGATGCTCCTGGCACTCGGCCTCATCAGGCACTGGGCAGTGGGGAGGAGAGATCTGACCCTGCACGGTGCTGTGGCTGAGCCCACAGGCTCTGCAGATCAGCCTGACTTTACTAATTAGTGGTTGGCAAGTCACCCTCCAGCCCAGTTACTCTCATCTGCAAAATGGGGGAAATGGAGTCTGCCCTGTGGTCACTGCTGAGGCTGGGTGAAATGATGCACGTAGAAAGCTTGGCCTAGTGCCTTCTGGAGGTGGTGGCTGCCGCTAGTTTTAACAATCGTACAAAAACCATACCAAACTCCAGACCAGGGTAATGTCCGCAATGAATAGGTTTTGATGACTCAGAAGGCCTTCCAGGAATTCCTAGGCCTTAAAACCTTAATTAAGAGCATCAATTCAAGGGATGTGCTGGTTAAAAGTGAGTTCAAGTGTGAATGGGCCATTTTTTAACTATACTTACATTTTAGCCACGGGGGTGGGGGTGGGGCAGGGTAGTGATATATCTAGCAAGATTTTTTTTTTTTCCTTTCCTTTTCTCTCCTGTTGTTTTCCTTTCCTTCCTTCCTTTCTTCATTTTTTTGTAACTAAATAATCCAGAGGCTCTCATGAGCATGCAGGAGGTTAAAATACACTTACCTTAGGTCTCAGTTGCTCACACCCAGAACAGGAAGCCTACTCACACAGGCCCTGTGAGGTCCCTTTCCAAGCACAGATGCCGGGAGGGAACGGCCTTGGGGCAGAGTCCACTCATGTGTGTGGGGAGGTCTACAGACCTCCTCTCAAGACCTGATGTTTCTTTCTTTAAGCTTTTCATTTTACCTTGGAGTATAGTTGATTTGCAATGTTGTGTTAGTTTCAGGCATCCAGTAAAGTGATTCAGTGATAAACAGGTATCTATTCTTTTGCAAACTCTTTTCCCGTTTAGATTATTATAGTATGTTGAGCAGAGTTCCTTGTGCTATACTGTAGGTCCTTATAGGTGATCCGTTTTAAGGCTTGACGTTTCTTCAAATACCTGCAGGTATTCTTGTTCCCCGGGGAAAGTGCAGAGAACGAAGCCACCTTGTACCACCAGAAGCACATGGCCATGACCCTCCTGGCCTCTTTCTTCTACTCTGCGCATCTGCCAGAGCGCCTGGCCCCTGGACGCTTCGACTACATCGGTGAGCGCGTGGGGGCCCCGCTGCCCCGCTGCGTTCCCATCCCTGACACGGGGAGGCGGGGGCAGGGTGAGAAGGAAGTTCTCCAGGCCCAGGCCAAGGGGAGCGAAATTGCCAGGAGACAGAGGCCAGGATGTACACAGACCGTGGATGCCCAGGGAGGGCGGTGGGGGATGGAGAGAAGGTGGGTCTAGGATTCTAAAGCATTTCTGGCGGGTATGGGGACAGGAGAGTCCTATTATTACCTCGAGCGGGAAATCCTATTATTAAGTGACCATGGAAGGCAGCTGTAAAGAGGAAGAGGCAAGACAGGGTGCAGAAGGCTCTGAGGGTATCAGCTGGCGGAGGGCAGTGCCAAGGAGAGGAAAGAGAGTCTCACTCAGGCGGGTGTGATGGTGCCAGGAATCGTGGTAGAGCAGTGCCTCCCAGCCTCAGCAGTTCCCAGTCTGGACGAGTAGTCTCGGCCTCACCTGGGAACGTGCGGATCTCAGCCCCCACCCCCCGAGACATCCCATTGGGGTGGGCCCAGCACTCTCTCAGAAGCCGAGTGATTCTCCAGGTGAGCCTGGACATGCTCAAGCCAGAGAAGCCAAGTGGTGAAGAGGAGGCGTCCGAGCTCCAGGGGTTTATAGCTGCTGGCAGAGTTCCTTCCTCTCTGTTGAGGGACGTGCGTAGCGCTGTGGAACGCATCTCCTCCACCCTGGCTCTGGGACTGGCTGGAGGAGGGAGCCTTGCCCATTTCTGGTGAGGCTGAGGGCTCCTGGGCTGAGAGCTTGGATACGCCACCATGGAGATCTAAGTCCTCACCCCCAGGTGGCGAGCAGGAACCTCGGTTCTCTCCAGGCCCATTTTGTCCATGAGTTTCCATCTTCTACCCAAGAAACGTGGCCACATTTTGCTTTGACACGAGTTTCATCTCCTTTATTCCTTCTCCTCTGCCAGAAGGGATCACAATGAGCAAAGTGGTTAGAGGGCAGATTTCAAAAAAGGAGGGAGATGAGAGGGCCAGGGGATTGGAACCTGCCCAAGGAGCCTGCCCAGCATGTTCACCTCCCTAGCCCCAGCCCAGCTGGAGGAAATAGAGCTGATTATGTACAAAGTCTGGGGTCGGCAGGAAAAACAAATAGACACTGGGCCTTATTTTGCCGACTCTGGCTTCTTAATAACATTTTATTTGCTCACCTTTATCCTGTCCTTTTGGGCCTAGAGCAGAAAGACACTCCACTGGGAGGATGTGGCAGAGATGGCAGATAACACAACATCTTAAACAAGGGCTTTGGAAAGATCTCTGTCCTTAAATAACAGAGTCAGCCAGATTTTGAGCTTCCTCCCCAATGCCCACAGGAAGCTCCTCCCTATTCCTGCCAGACGGGAGTGTTGACATCACTTTTCCCGCTGCAGGCCCATTTCACATCTGTCCAGTGCTCTTGGCTCTTCCATCTTTTTGTCTCCTGCCCTAATGGAGATGGGTTGGTGCCTCAATTGGTGAGCACAGCTGGTCACTTCCTACTGCTTGGCCCTGTGTCCTCGGACAGTACAGTTTTCAGCTGGATAAGGAACCACTTCTGCCGCAAAACACACAGATTTGGAAAGTGTACACAGCCTAGTGGTATGGCTTGAGTGAGGGAGGTATCCAGTCACAGTATCCAGAGGTTAGAAGCCCAAGATCAAGGGTTGGCAGGGTTGGTTTCTTCCAAGTCCTCTCTCCTTGGCTTGCCAGGGGCCATCTCCATTTCTTTTCACCTGATCTCTCCTCTGTGTACGTGTACATCCTAATCTCCTCTTCTTATAAAGATACCAGAGTGGGTCCCATGCTAGTGACCTTGTTTTAACTTAATTGTCTTTTAAAAACCCTATCTCCAGATACGGTCACATTCTCAGGTACTGGGAGTTAAGACTTTCAACATGTGAATTTGGGAGGGGGAGGTACAATTCAGCCCATGAAACATGCGGTCTTCTCATCTTACTCCTGGTTTCTGTGGACTGTCCCCCGAGGCAATCCCCAGCCCTGGGCAATGGACTCCTTTTCTCACCAGCTACCAAGGCAGTACCCCCTGCGTACTGCAGCCTCCGTCCACTGGGCTCCCACCCTCTGGGGATGCATCCGTGCTGACCGGGGTCCTGTGCGATATCAGAGAGGAAGAGCCCCTCATTGTGTCTGGGATTAACCAGCAGTAGGGAGAGGAGCATCTCATAAGTGGCCAACAGGAAGTCTGGCTGGCTTCCCCTCTGGTATTGAAGTCAGAATCAGATCTGACTGGTGACAGCTCTCAAGAGGTAAACTTCAGAACTTTCTCATGTGAAAAATAGGACTGGTGGATAAGTTGTTTTAAAAATGGATTTGGTTTTCTCTGATGGCCTTTTTATTTTTCTCATAAGATATTTAAAAAATAAAAACTTGAAAGTATATATCACATATGGGCTTCCCAGGTGGTGCTAGTGGTAAAGAATCCTCCTGCCAATGTGGGAGACACAGCAGTCATGGGTTTGATCCCTAAGTTGGGAAGATCCCCTGGAGGAGGGCATGGAAACCCACTCCATTATTCTTGCCTGGAAAATTCCATGGACAGAGGAGCCTGGCAGACTGCAGTCCATGGGGTCGCAAAGAGTCAGACACAACTGAGCGACTGAGCGCGTGCGTTATACATAACATAATACCCTAATTTCAAGTGTACAATTCAATCTTTTTTTTTTTTTTTTTAGCAAATTTACCACATTGTGTAACCATCACCATATATGAGTTTTAGAACATTTTCGTCACTCCAGTAAGATCCTTCCTACCCATGTACTGTTAATTCCAACTCCTACCCCCTATCCAAGACAACAACTAGTCTATTTTCTGTCTCTCTGGATTTGCCTTTTCCAGACAGTGGGTATCTTGTATCTAGCTTCTTTTATGCCACAGAGTGTTTTTTAGCACACAAGCCATAGGGTGTTGTCAGTATCCATTCCTTTCTCATCGTTGATTTTGGTGGCCTTTTGTGTATTTGCTTTAGGTCACAGTCACCAGCTGTTTCATGTGTGTGTGATCCTGGCCACGCACATGCAGATGGAAGCCATCCTTCTGGACAAGACTCTGAGGAAGGAGTGGCTCCTGGCCCACTGCAGGCCCCTGTTGTTCGCCCAGATAGCCGGAGCCATACTTCTATGCCTCATCTTCAGCCTCAGCAACATAGTTTATTTCTCATCTGCTCTGTATCGGATTCCCGAGCCGGAATTACATAAAAAGGAAACCTGATTCACACCATAAGCTTTTTGTACCAAATGTCAGCATTAAGCTACAACATCCTAACTACCATAAGCAGTGGCATGGTCCCAGTTTACAATGGCCTAAAATATTTATAATGCTTGATATCTTGGCATTTTTGAGAGGGTTCAAGTCAATGAGGTATTTAACTGGGGACATTTCTCTAGATGTGCATTGGATTCTGTAAGTACTATTTTAAAAGGGGGACGTGGGTTCAAGTCAGTCCTCATTCATGCAAATCATTATTTCATTTAGCTTTTAATTTATTTAAAGTGTGCTCTCCAATTCTATTTAAACAGCTGGATTAGGCATACCACCCGTATAGCTTTACTATTAAATAGTTGGATTAAGCTTTTACTACCCTTGAAGTATTACTCTTGGAAAATGGACACGCTTCATCTGATGAGATTCATGTGGCAAACCTCTCCTGCCACAGTGGAAGAGGATGAGCTGGGAACCTGAGAAAGCAGAGATTGAGTCTGTGGGAGCTGTGGGGACTGGGAAGGCATTCCAGAATGAAGAAACCTGGTTTGGGGAGGGGCCTTCTTCCTTTCCCCACCTAGTGAAGGGAATGAATTGAAAGAGCCATTTTGTTCCCACAAGTCCATTCTGCTTCACCATGCAAGGTTCCCATGTCATTATGGACTTGGATTTTGTTAAAAGTTCACAGCCTGTGGCTGGGTGTCAGATGTTCTGTTTTGCTCTGTTTTCTTGTCGCCAGTTTGATGCTGTGAAGTATTATGCAGCACAGGTAAAGTGTGTTACCCAGAGGGCACTGACTGAGTTAATCCCAATTGGTTGTACTTATTTATCACCTTTTAACCAATGACATCACACTATTTGGAGAGGTTATACATTTAATGTTGCTTCAGCATTTCATATGTGCTGCAGAATTTAATGTTCATGTGCAGAGGATACTAAAGGTTTTGCTAAAGGGATGGAAACACTTGGTGAGCTTGTGATAAATGTAGATCCTCCAGGCGAATCAGGAAATGCTGCCTTACTAGTTTAAAATGTTGGTTTCCTGCAGAAGGTCTGTACTGGAACAAGTTCCCCAGGTGATTGTCAGGAGGGCCATGGGCCAAACTTGCAGAAATGCTGGTGTCACGGATTCCAGGATGCACAGGGCCCATCCGCTGTGTTTTGATTGGTCTGACTTTCAGCAGCTCACAACCTAAGGCTGTGTCCTCTGCTTTCTACTGTGTGGAGTACTAAAACACTGAATATTTTCTCATCTGTCGCATTACTCCTTAAAAGTTCAGTATTTCATGGTGTTTTCATAGAGTACAGAAATGCTGATGCAAAACAGCTTTGAACAGAGGCCCAGCACTCCCTGACATGCACTTGCTAACGACTTAAGGGGCCATCCATCGCAATGCAGGACCCTCTTCTGCTGACTCAGGAACACCCCAGTTTCTTAGAACACTGCCTCTATGGTTAACTGGCCCAGACATTTGAATGACCTTGTAAATAGCTCATCAACTAATCCTCTGAAGACAAGTAGCAATTTATATCGGATATGAGTGGTCAACAAATATGATTTCATTAGTTTTATTGTCTGTTTACTTCCTCTGGGGAAGGTAGACTGATAAAATTATATAGGCTGGTAAATTTTTGGTACATTAATTGCAAGCTGCATGACAAAATTTGTCTTTTTGGCAAGAGGTTGACACTATTACTGGAATTTTACTCTACCAGGGGTTCTGGGCTTCCATTTCATCCTACTGTAACTTCAGTTTTATGGTGGACAGAGGTACTAAGTTTACGTACTCCATTTTAGTAATGCCAAAGGCATGAAGGCTTCTTAATTCTCTTGTTTATAGAAAGTAACATAAGGTTCTTCGTTTAGCTCAGAAGTAGTTGAAAGATCACAGGTGACTAATTTGAAGGACTTTTAGAATATTTAATCTTTGGTTACATTGCTTTTTCAGCATGCTTAATAATGAAAATGAAATGTTAAATCAACAAAATGAGGCCAAGTGTTTCATAATGTTTTTATACATTTGGTAAAGTAGTCCCATTGTATACTTTTGGACAGTGTTACAATTAAATTTTATAACAGTTTGCAGTACACTGATTTGGAAACTTCTAATGTTGAATGAGAATGTGTTCAAATATATTCATTATCATTAAGTGTTATGAAGTCTAATGTGAATATAGTTTTGCTAAGCCATTCCAGAAATTAAAAAGATTGGCAGTGGGTCAGTTGAAAACCTCACTGGGAGGGTATCTTTTAATGTGTATATGTATGCTCAATTGTGTCCGACTCTTTGCAACCCATGGACTGTAACCTGCCAGGCTCCTCTCCATGCAATTTTCCAGGCAAGAATACTGGAGTGGGTTGCCATTTCCTTCTCCATTGGATCTTCCCAACCCAGGAATGAACCCAGGTCTTTTGTGGCTCCTACATTGGCAGGTGGGTTCTTTACCACTGAGCCACTTTGGAAGCCTTGTCTTTTATGGTAGCAGTTCTCTCTCTCTCTTTTTTTTTTAACATCTCAGTACACTTTGTAGATATACCATATTCCCACTGGTAGTGATTGCTCACCAAGGCCCTGTCTCCTAAGGGGAGAGGGGGAGCAGACACACTCCTAAAGGGATGTACCTCTTCCCCCTCCCTTGGCTTAAAAAATACTACTCTAAAATGTACCAATCATTTTCATTGTGATAAAACTCAGGTATGCTTGAATGAGGCCATTTAGTCACTTGCCTCTTCCTTCAGTCGCAAATGGAGAGTTTAATTTTCCTTGTGCAGTCTTTGGAGAGGAACTCTCCTTCTTCTATAAAGACATGAATTTGTCAGACTTCCCTGATGGTCCAGTGGTTGAGAATCCACTGCTAATGCAGGGGACACAGTGTGATCTTTGGGCCAGGGAGATCCCAGATGCCTCAGAGCAATTAAGCCTGAGCCTGAGCTCTAGAGCCCAGGAGTTGCAACTGCTGAACTTCTGAGCCTGAGTGCCCTGGAGTCCTTGCTCCACAATGCGAAGCCTCTGCGATGAGAAGCCTGCGCATCACAACTGGAGAGGAGCCCGCACACAGCAACAAAGATGCAGTGCGGCCCAAAATACATAAAATATATTTTAAAAAGAGACAAGAATAGGTCCTTGTTGATTAGAATTAGAAGTGGGATGTTTAGAAGGCTTTTGAATACAAAGTGATTTAGATATTTGGTCTGCAGCAATCTTTCTCACAGTGTTTTTGTAGAAGGAACTCAGTTCCCAGGAGATAGTCTGAGGAAGGCAGAATGCTGTTCTGGAAAAGAATGCTTTTGTCAGATGTGTCAGAGAAACCTTTCATTCCCATCTGCTTTGTCCTGAATTTGGTTTGGCCATGGTATTCTTTATATATGAAACACCTGTTAACCCTGTATATCAACACTTTGTTACATATTGTTGAATGCCAGCCTCTGATTTTCTAGTCGACAATCCATTATGAATGAAAAGGCAGAGACCTATTTCCAGACTCAGAGATGTTCTTCTAGCTTATACTAATGTCTGGTTTTCTTAAACTATATGGTAGGAAAAATAAAATTTATTTATTATAGTAAAGTCCTGTTTCTCCTTTGACTTGGTTATGTTTCACCTACTATGCTGAAAACATACTCACTCTTCATGAAAAATAGATTCCTGTATATGTATAGACTGTGAAATCATTCAATGAATGTTTATTTAGTGCCTGGTATATCTAAAACAAACCGTGTCCTAAAAGTTGGGAATATAGAAGTGAAGAAAACCCAAATTGTCCTTCCCTCATGGAGATGATACACTGGGCAGCCAGTAGGACAAGAGATATCGATAAATTCAGATAATGCTAAGTGCTGGTGGTTTAGATGGTAAAGAATCCACATCCAATGTGGGATACCTGGGCTCAATCCCTGGGTTGGGAAGATCCCCTGGAAGAGGGCATGGCAACCCATTCCAGTATTGTTGCCTGGTGAGTCCCCGTGGACAGAGAAGCCTGGTGGGATACAGTCTATGGGGTTGCAAAGAGTCGACTGAGTGATTAAGCACATCAGGAAAATAAGCCTGGGGACTTCCCTGGTGGTCCAATGATTTAGACTCCACGTTTCCACTGCAGGGGTTTGATCCCTGGTCCTGGGAACTAAGATCCTGTTCCTATTTGGTGTGGCCAAAAAAAAGAAGCCTGGTGAGGGAATAGGGAGGGGTGGGGTGAGCCAGCTGAGATTGGATAACCAGTCTGATAAACCGACATTTGAGGAGAAACTTGATAGAGCACTAGACCATTCAGGTATGACCTAAATCAAATCCTTTATTATTATACAGTGGAAGAGACACATAGATTCAAGGGATTAGATCTGATAGTTAGAGTGCCTGAAGAACTATGGATGGAGGTTCCTAACATTGTACAGGACTCGGTGATCAAAACTGTCCTCAAGAAGAAGAAACGCCAACAGGCACAGTGGTTGTCTGAGGAGACCTTACAAATTGCTGAGAAAAGAAAGAGAAAGGTAAAGGAGAAAAAGAAAGATACATCCATCTGAATGCAGAGTTCCAAGGAGAGATACGAAAGCCTTCCTAAATGACCAAAGAAATAGAGAAAATAATAGAATGGGAAAGACTAGAGATCTCTGAGAAAATTGGAGATACCAAGGGAATATTTCATGCAAAGATGGGCACAATAAAGTATAGAAACAGTATGGACCTAACAGAACACAAGATGATAAGAAAAGGTGGCAGGTATACACAGAAGAAATGTACAAAAAAGATCTTCATGACCCAGATAACCACGATGGTGTGATCACTCACCTAGAACCAGACATCCTGGAGTGTGAAGTCAAGTGGGCCTTAGGAAGCATCACTACGAACAAAGCTGGTGGAGGCTAGTGGAGGTGATGGAATTCCAGTTGAGCTATTTCAAATCCTAAAAGATGATGCTGTGAAAGTGCTGCAGTCAATATGCCAGCAAATTTGGAAAACTCTGCAGTGGCCCCAGGTCTGGAAACAGTCAGTTTTCATTCCCAAAGAAAG